CAGCAACAACAGCCTGGTTCAGAAGAACCTATTTCAACCAACCCCAACCGCACTCAACGACCACCCCATTTGCGCAAGAACTGCCACGATGAGAAGGAAATCGAACAGTTGTTTGAGCACCATCATCAACAGAAGGGAATTTCTTTGGATAACTACGCGAGCATTCCAGTTGATATTGTTCCTCGTGACGTTGCTCCAGTGGAAAGCTTTGAGGACCTTTATGTGGAGCCTGCACTTGCTGTGAACATTGCAAAATGTGGCTACAAGCAGCCTACGCCAGTGCAGCGTTACGGTATCCTTGTTTGTCTCAATGGCAATGACCTGATGGCATGCGCACAAACGGGTTCTGGCAAGACTGCAGCTTTCCTTGTCCCAGTCATCCATTACATCCTGAAGTATGGCGTGTCGCCAGCTCGTAATCGTGTTAGTTATCCGATTGCCGTCATTATGGCCCCCACGCGTGAGTTGGCGTTACAGATATACGACGAGGTGCGCAAGCTGACCTTCCGCACGGACATCTTTTACGACGTGGTGTACGGTGGGACGCCGTATCCTACCCGTTTCGAGAATGATATCCTCGTTGCGTGCCCTGGCCGCTTAAAGGATATATTTGATCGCGGCATTGTTTCTTTCAGCAAGGTGAAGTTCCTCGTCCTTGATGAAGCCGATCGCATGTTGGAGATGGGGTTTGAGGAGCAGATTGAGTATCTCGTCGCGTCACGCTACACAGACATGCCGCAGGCCACTGACCGGCAGACGTTGATGTTCAGCGCGACGTTCCCGCAGCGCATCCTGAACCTCGCGAAGAGGTACCTACGCCAACAGTACTATCTCCTCACTGTTGGTCGTGTCGGTTCAACAACAAAGAACATCACTCAACGGATTGAACGCGTGCAGGAGTCGGAGAAGGTGGACAAGTTGTTTGAGGTCATTTACCAGCAGAAGCAGACTGATTTGGTCCTGATCTTCGTCGAGACAAAGCGCGCCGCGGAGGATCTTCACTACGCTCTCAAGAATGAAGGTATCCCCAGCGCCACCATTCACGGTGACCGCAAGCAGTTTGATCGCGAACGGGCTCTGCGAGATTTTAAGGAAGGCATCACACCCATTCTTGTTGCGACCGATGTGGCCTCGCGTGGTCTCGACATCCCGAATGTCGCGCACGTCATCCAGTACGATCTCCCGAAGGAGATGGACGACTACACCCACCGTATCGGTCGTACCGGGCGTGCGGGGAACAAGGGCGTGGCTACCTCCTTCTACAACAAGAACAACCGCAACCTCGCCGTGGACATGTACAACTACCTCAAGGAGCACGAGCAGGACGTGCCTGTGTGGTTTGAAGAGGAGAAGGACATCGTCGAGGGCGACCGGTTCTTAGGCATGAGCCGCGGCGGCGGCGGCAGGCGTGGTGGTGGCGGTGGTGGTGGTGGTGACAGCTACCGCGCGGCCCCAACGCTGTCGAACTCCACGTGGGGAGAGTCGGCGCCGTCGCGCGGTCGCATGAGAGGCGCGGGTCGGCAGCATGGTGCCTCCAACATTGACGACGGCGGCTTTTGATGCAATCGCATTGCATGGATCGCGGCAGACGCAGGGTCGGAAATAGATACGGTGCATTTAACATCATTATGGAGAGCCTGCCTTTAGATATATATATATCAAACCTAAGAACCAGGCCAACGCACAAGAAATAAAAAAGAACGCAGGGAAATGAAAAAAAAAGAGGGGATAAGAAGACACCGATAGTAAACAGGGTGAAGAGAGGGAGGTAAAGGCCAGATACGCATTTCAGGATTTCGATCCGAAGTATCATGTGCATGATGAAGAAGGATGGGCACTGAACTTGTGGCGTTGACGCTTTGCGTGGTGGTTCCACCTTGCTCAGTCGTCTTGCACTCACCGTCTCTTCGTATATTTATATATGCTATATATGCACATCTCGCTCACAGGCTGAAGGTGGGAATGTACTCGAATGACGCAGAACGATTAACTGAGCTCTTGACGACACGGTAATTGTGGCTGAAAAGCGCTACTACTACCAAACTCTCTTACCTTGTTTTTATGTGTGTGGTCGTGTTCTTCCCTTGGCCAGTTACTCATTCATTTGTAGTGTACGAAGGCAGAGAGAAAGTGAGTGAGTGAGTGAGTGAGTGAGGCGGCTTTACCCCCTCGGCGCGTAACTCCTCCCCGCCCTCTGTCCCCACGACAATTCAGCTCACTCGCCACCGCCGTCGCCGTCGCACTGCTTAAAAAAAAAAAATGACGACTACAAGCAAAGAATAAAAAGAAAAGAGTGGGCGGCTGAATCAAAAAAAAGAAAGAAGAAAAAAAAATGTTACTATGATTAAATCTCACTCGCCTCGGCGAGGGTGTGTGTGTGTGTGTGTGTAGGGGGCATGCGTCATAATGTTGTGGGATTGCAGGAGTTAAGGAAATGAAAAGCGAAAAAAAAAATGGGTCCTACTGGAGACTGCGTGGAAAGGGAGGGGGGCTCTGGGCGAGTAGTGCGAGCAAGGCACGGAATGCAATACAGGTGAAAAAGGAGGAGGGGAAGGAGGATAGATCAAGAACAAGAAAGGGAAAAGGAAATGGAAATGGCGGAGGGGCAAAAAAAAAGACAAAGAGACCAAGAAAGCTAAGTCGTAATGAAGGAAGAAAAAAAAAGAGAGCGTCCCTGTTTGTACTGCTGTTTTTAGTTACGATGCAGTAGTGGGACGCGGTGGAAGAGGCAGCAACAACAACAACAAAGCAAGAGGGATAAAAATAAGGGTGAAATGGATTGAGAGCGCGAACGTGAGCTCCTTTCTTCTTGTATCCGCACCTGCTTCTATCTGTTTCTCCCTTCTTTTGTTTTCGTCCAATTTAGTTCTGTTCGAGTCCAGTGGTGACTTGGCGCGAGGAAGAAAAACAGCACGCTGTCGTGGCACCACTTGTACTATAGGGAAGCGGCGTCCGCCTATCGTTTCTGTGCCTCCTCTGAGTAATGTTTTACCGCCGCGTTACCATTCTTCGCGTCATGGCGTCGTCCGCGTCGTCGTCATCGTCGTCGTCGTCTTCCTCCTCCTCCTCCTCCTCTGCGGGCCGACACCACACGGCCCCCGCGTCGCCGTACGAGGTGCTGGGTGTGGGCCCGAACAGTCCCTTCTCCGAGGTCAAGGCACGCTTCCAAGAGCTGGCGCGCCACTACCACCCCGACATGCCGCACGGCGACCCGGGGAGGTTCCGCGAAATCAACGCCGCCTACCGCCTGCTGCGCGCCACACAGCGTGAGAAGAGGTCGGAGCACATCAACGCGGGCAACACGAAGAATTTCTGGACTGAGTGCAACCGCAAGATGAGGGAAGACTTCGCCGACAGCAAGGCACGAGAACGCCAGAGCCGAGATCGGCAAGCAAATCTAAAGCGGCCACGTGGATTGTTGCGCGAACTACTGTGGATCTACGAGGGCTACGAGTTGGCCCTTGTGCTTGGCGCAGCGGTGGCTGTCCTTGTTATTGCTGCGGACAGATATCTACTCGTGGAGCGGATGACACGCGAAAAGCGGGCGCGGCTGCGAGCCATGGATGAAGGACTGCCGCCAAGTATGCCGCTCGTTATGGACAGCGAGATGATGCTGAAGTACAGTGATCCCGTGCCGCCGGAGGCGATTGAGACCGACAAGGCAATAGTGAAGGAGGCGGCATACTACCGACGTGCTACACAGCGTCGCTTCGAGGACTTCCGCGAGTACCTCTTTATCTACGATCCCGATGGTGTTACCTCGCGTAAGGTGACCACTACACGTTTCAGCATTCAATACCTCGACGAGGACCTTATTCCAAAGCGCTGCGCCTACGTGCGTGAGTTCAACTCCGAGGAAAAGAATGCGCGGTACGAGAATATCGCCAAGGACGTAGCAGAAACACTCGGATCGGCGCCGTGGGTAGCACCAGACGCGCAGTACATCGTGCCACTGGTAGCGAAAGGCCTCGCAGCGATCCCGATGAACTCCCCCGACACTGCCAAGTGGACCGTTATTGAATATAAGGACAACGATACAGGCGGTCCCTCATCGTGTCTGATGGCGTTGAAGAATAACCGTTTTGAACGCCTTGGAATGTGCCAACGCGTGACAGTAACGGGGAGCAGTAAACTCAGCCCTAAGCTCGTCGCCATGAGGGAAGAGGACCTGCAAAGTGGAGCAGTGAAAAAGCGGAGTCTAATGCGGGGAGGAACCCTTCCGTTAAAGGATCTCTCTATTCCTCTTGAGCGAATGAAACTCTAGATGGGCCAGCTGGGATTCCTACTAGCGTGAGTATTATATACATACATTTAGTTCAGTAGGTGTTTGGGTTTTTCTAGGTGCCCCCCAAATGGGGAAATCAGCACCTCAAGCAAAGGTAAAAGGAAAAATTATTGGGAAGAGTACAAATACGTTGTTCATTTTTTGCGCTTTTTCCTTAGTGGGGGAAGGAACGGATTTTCATGCGAAACTACTCTGTCTTCTTCCTCTTCGCCGTCGCTGGTTTCTCAGGCTGCTCTCTCACCCCCTTAACTCTCAACAGGAAGTGATGAAGCCAGAAATTATGCTTTCATGTGACACCGCTCTCGAGCGGCAACACGAAAGCCACGCTGACTCCGCTACACGTGGCACCAGCAAAACCGTTTCGGCACCTACTCTGATACCCGAAGGTGAATGTCATGCGATGTTGTTGAAAATCAAGGAACAACGCCGGATTGCCGAGTATGCGCTGAGCTCTCTTGAGAAGGGAGAGCGGCAGAATATGGGCAGCCTCCCGGCAGTCATGTCGGGTGACAAGGAAGAGTCATTCCGTGCTACGATTGACGCACATATACTGGATGACATAAAACAGGAGGCAGCGAATATTCACCCGGCGTACAACCGCGACGAGGACGACAACTACCCAAATCATTTCTGCTGCCCGATAACTATGAAGCCGCTTTGCCGACCTGTCGTGGTGAAGGCATCCGGGCGGACGTACGAGATGGATGCAATAGTGGCCTGGTTAACAAAAAACAGTGTAGAGCCCATGACGCAACACACCCTCGAAGGACCTATTGAAAGTCTCTACGTTTTCAACTACGCCCTCAAGGAATCGATGGACTTCTTCGATGAATACAAGAGAAAGCGCATAGTCGCAAGGCGAAGAGCTCTCGTTGATGCGACGATTCGTGATATGTTCATTTTTTCGCGGGAGAACAACCAACGCAGCTACACAGCCATGGTAGAAAACGTTGCGGAGCGGGAATATTTGAAGCAAATCATTCAAAATTACAAGGACGAAGAGCATCGCTTGGGTTTCTCCTGCATCCTCGGCATTACAGATTAGAGGCCCGAAAACCTCCAGGTATTGTTTTCCCTGCAACGTGCGTGTGGCGAGGGGTGTAGTCTTACCACACCCCCACCAGATGGTGCTGACAAAAAAAAACGACGGACGAGTGAGACACTCACATAAACAACCGGCCCAGCGTGCGCTACCGTCGAAGAGAGAACCAAAACATCCAACATAGCACCGGGCTCAAGCTAACAGTTACAGTAATCTAATGCAGTTTTTATTCACTCTTTGCAGCAGTGTTAGGATGGACTCCTGGCACGTTTTTTTTTATCCCAGTAAATAGTAACCTGTGAAACAAATATGATTCAAGACACCCCGTCTTCACCAACAACGCCAACAATGCCTGCCGACCACATCACAAAATCACCCACGAAGCACAAATTACCCATTTTTTGTACTCTCAGCTATCAGCATAGGAGCATAGTACAAAATGAATGACGAGACTGACCCTGCTCCGCTACTGAACTATGCGACCGTGATACGATACCCTTCAGGGCTACTGACGTGCGGCTCTTTTTTTGTGGCCTTTTTGTTTTAGTTTGGGTTTGTTTTTGTTTGGCTTCTCTCGTGCCCCGCATCATTCGCTTCCTGCAGTTACGCCGGTTTATTGTCGTCTGTCAGGTTAGTATAGTGATGCTAGAATGTCTTGCTGGTGTCTAGACATCTCTCTTGTATTTTCTTGTGCTTTGTTGTGGCTTTCTTTTGTTTTTTGTTGTTGTTGATTGAGTATTCCTATTCCCGCTTTTTTTTCCAGTTCTTATTAATAAATTTTTTGAAGGTTGCACGTCTACAAAATGAAGTATATTGGTTCTCTTGATCAGGGCACAACTAGCTCGCGCTTTATTATTTTTGATGAGACGCAACGCATTGTCGCAATATCTCAGCAGCAGCACGAGCAGCTTACTCCGCAGGCTGGATGGCTGGAGCACGACCCGATGGAGATGTACCGCGCAAGCTGCAAGTGCATTGTGAATGCTGTGGAGGAAGCGCGACGAAAGAGGACTGACTTCGTGAAACTTGAGGCGATTGGCATCACGAATCAACGTGAGACGACGGTCGCCTGGGATCGTGAAACGAAGGAGCCTTTGTGCAACGCCATTGTGTGGAGTGATTTGCGCACGTACGACCTTGCAGTGAGAATTGCGAACGAGGTGGCCGGTGGAGACAGAAATTTTGCTGTGAAAACAACTGGTTTGCCCGTCAGTACTTACTTCTCTGCTTTCAAGATGCGCTGGATGCTGGAAAACGTCCCTGCTGTGGCAGAGGCCCGTCGACGTGGAACCTTGTGCTTTGGTACCATTGACTCGTGGATGATATACAAGCTCAGTGCACACAAGGCTTTTCTGACGGATGTCACAAACGCCTCTCGCACCTTCCTGATGGATATTCACACAAGGACTTGGTCAGCGGAGCTATGCCGCAAGATGGGTATTCCGAAAGAGTGTTTGCCAGAAATCAGGAGCAACAGCGAGTTTTTTGCGAATGTGGCTTCGGATGAGTGCGGCGTCACAAAGGCCCTGGGGCCCACGACCCCCATCATGGGCAGCGTCGGTGACCAGCAGGGAGCCTTGTTGGGCAACATGTGCTTCAACGCCGGGGAGGTGAAGAACACGTACGGCACCGGTTGCTTCCTCCTCATGACAGTCGGGGAGGAGGTGCAGTACTCGAAGCATGGTCTTCTTTCCACAGTTGCATATCAACTTGGAAAGGATGGCCCGTGTTTCTACGCGCTCGAAGGTTCCATTGCTGGCGCTGGTGCAACCGTTGAGTGGATGAAGAACAGAATGAAGTTGTTCGACAAGATCACAGACTGTGAGAAGCTTGCACGCACTGTCCCCGATACAAACGGGGTTGTGTTTGTGCCTGCATTCTCTGGTCTGCTTGCGCCGTACTGGGACCCCAGCGCCCGTGGGACTATTGTTGGAATGACCCTGAAGACCACCAAAGCCCACGTTATTCGTGCAGCACTTCAGGCAATCGCACTTCAAGTCGCTGCTGTGATGGAATCAATGAACCAAGATACCGGAATCGATATTAAATATCTGCGCGTCGACGGTGGACTGGCATTGAACCGCCTCCTTTTGGAGATTCAGGCAGACATGCTGGGACTCGAACTCCAGCTGCCATCTATGGGCGAAACCACCGCACTTGGCGCAGCAATTTGCGCTGGCCTCGCGGTGGGTGTGTGGAAGTCGGTCGACGAAGTCAAAGAGGCCTCGCAGCGCGGAAACCGACTGCAGACGATCAAGCCTACGGCTTCTTCAGACTTCCGGAAGGAAGTGAAGGAGCAATGGGAGCGTGCCCTGCAGCGGGCAAAATGGGCCAAGCTTTAGGTAATTGTTGTTTTTGCTTTTATTTCCAAAAACGTATTTTTTTTTTTNTTCCCCCAACCCCCCCTCCTTCCATCCCCCCGCCACATTGGGACGCACACTTGGCAGCCACACCAGCTACCACGCGGAGCGTATACTCTCAGTCTTCGTGGCGGTCGTTCAACTGAGGCGAGAGAACTGCACCGCCCACACAAGCACATAACTAACGCCGCTGGAGACGCGTGATGATCCATGCTGGCACTACATCGACACTGAGTCGGAAAGCACATGACGTACTTGTGACAGATCATGGAGGTCTCGGTACATGTTGCTGGGCACTGAGCACACATTCCCTCCCTCCCTCGTTTGGTTTTTTGGTGGTGCGTCATGATTTCACCCATAATGCGTCAAGACACAAAGCGTGTGTGATTGCTGGATTCAAGCGCAATGCCGTAAGCAGGATGACCGACGCACGTGTACACTACCANGATGATCCATGCTGGCACTACATCGACACTGAGTCGGAAAGCACATGACGTACTTGTGACAGATCATGGAGGTCTCGGTACATGTTGCTGGGCACTGAGCACACATCCCCCCCTCTTTCTCTCTCTCCCGTTTGGTTTTTTGGTGGTGCGTCATGATTTCACCCATAATGCGTCAAGACACAAAGCGTGTGTGATTGCTGGATTCAAGCGCAATGCCGTAAGCAGGATGACCGACGCACGTGTACACCACCACCACCATCACTTCTGTTACTGTCGGCAATGCCGAGGTCGACGTGTACCCCACGCGTCCTGCAATGACGCATTGGGGAATGGAACTGACCGAGACCACGCGATGGAGAGCCACTGAGCGC